TTTAGAGTGGTTAGTGGTTTACTCAATGATCTAATCTTTAATTTTCCCACAACTTGTTGCAGGCATTTCCAAAAGGATCTCCTTTGGTACCTGACGTCTCAAGAGCAGTCTTGCAGGTGATGGAAGGAGAGTTTATGAATAACATAATACAGAAATGGTTTGGGAATGAAACAGATTGTCCAAAGCAAGATGGAATGGCTATAGCATCTAGCCTCACACTAGATAGTTTTATGGGCCTTTTCCTCATAGCTGGTGTATCAGCAGGCTCCGCTCTTCTCCTATTCTTCCTCATCTTCCTTTATCAGAATAGAGAAATCTTAGCCACTGATGATTCAGTATGGCAAAAGCTTTCTGCAATAGCAAATGCCTTTGATAAAGAGAGAGACAACTCTAATTCTATGTCAGAAGAGCCATCTGAAGGCAATGAAATCCAAACAGCTACACTGTTTGCAGAAAGTGAAGCTTCTACTGAAATATTGCCCCACCTTCCTTTGCAAAGCCCAGAAATCAGAATTTCCGACGGCTTAGGAGCATCCCCTGCACTTGAAGGGTTCTCTACAACAGAACCTGGAACTCCAGTTCATGAAAACATTACAGGGATAACTTAAGAGAGATAAGCCAGGTTTAAAATAGTTAAACCATATTATATTTGCATTAAGAGGCGTCTTTAGTATATAGAATTTATGGGTTTAACCTTCAACATCTTACAATTGAATTCCTTGCACTTTTGTAATATGCATTCAAAATTAAATATTTATTGAATTACTAATTTTCAGCATATATTTGCGTTCCATGTCAAAATTAAACTTCCGCACCAATTTAAGAAGCCCTGTGAGTTATCAGAAAGGACCAGATGCAATTATGAAATTCTGGAAGACAAATTTCTACCAATGAAATATTTGAGAAAGGAGCCATTATTATCTTCTCTAGCTTAACATTAACTCTATTACGAGTCTGGTCGATTAGGACTATCATCTGCAAATAGCATACACCATATAGTATTTTTAGAAATCAAAATTACCTAACATAAGTTTTCTAAGTAATATGTCCACCCCTAGGTATATATGATCATAGCAGATAACTATTATTATCCACCCATAGTCATGGATAATAAATAATGAAAGATTATAGGACCAGCATTGCATGTTTGACAACTTCAACATCATATACGTAACTTCTCAAGCAGCTTCCTCTTGCATTAACAATTACTTCCCTTCCGTTTTAAAAAGAATGATCTACTTTTCTGTTTAGTCTGTTTAAAAAAAATGACCCTTCTTTTTTTGGCAACACTTTAATTTCAGCTTTTTACGTGACATGTTTAAAGTCATAAGATTAAAAACCATTTTGGTATATTTAACATAACTTTAATTTAAGACCACAAGATTGAAAAGTCATGTTTATTTTCTTTAACTCCGTATCAAATTAAACTAGGTTCTACTACTGACCAATTTATCATATATATTACTAAAAGTGGGAAGCTCCAACCTTTAAAGTTGAATTACCATTTTACCCCTTCATTATATTAAAATGTTATAAATTATTTAATTAATTAAATAGTAAAAATAAAATTATAATTCACCCAAGGCTTAATTACATGTTCCAGGTTCAAAAACAAAATTCTGCGTGTTTAGATAAACAAAACGTCACAACAATTTAAATTCTTGGCTACGTTAATTAAGAAACAATTAATATTTAAAGGAAGGTGCTTTTTTAAAATGTTGTCATACTAAATGTTAATAATAGCTAAAATAATGATAAGAAATAATAATTTCTCATTTTACAAGCTTTTCAAAATTAATTTATACATTTTCGGAATGATTATAAATAATTAAAAATAAATAATAGGTATATAATTTAATAAGATAATTACTATAAAAACTTGCAGTGGCTTATGACTTTATATGATTTTCTATAGCACTAATATTAAAATTTCAAAATTACTTTAAAGAGATAAAAATAATTTCAGAAAGAGTCTTTTTCACTACCCCATTAACTACACATAC